TTGAAGGAGTGCCATTCAAAAAATAAACGAGGCACAAAGAGCGGAAGACACACCAGTCATGGTCAGTCACGGGCGAGGCAAAAGCGTGAAATCCGCGAGCGAAAAGAAAAGAGTCAGAACACACTGGACGGATTGGTCTGTTCAGACGGGCTAAGCAAAAGCATTTAAGTTAGACAGATAAAGCAGATTGGTCTGAAAGAGGAAAAACAGCATCACGTCTCGCGTGCAAGCACCATGCATCTTATCGGCTATTGTAGAAAGCACTCCAGGTTTAGCATATATAAGTGAGACGTTGAAAAAGGCAGGGTAGATGGTATCTATCGACTTCACTGCAAAATACGACATATACCTGCACATGATCAAGTAGTACTACAGGTTACCCAGTGTGGGAGAATAGCTAGCCAAAATGTGTCAAAGTCCAGGATGGAAACTTTTATTTCAAAGTAAGTATGGGATAAGAGACGAAGACCAGGAATGAGAGCGATGTGGAAATGAGATAGTTGTATTGAGCAAGTTACGAAGATGCACGAATAACTGGGAACTCCGGTTTTGGAGCCGAAAGAAATTATCCGGTTCGAACGACACGACCGCTGGAAAAAGATGAAGCACGCAATTGGCACACGGATTATTGCGCAGATCGGTGAGAGATATAGGACACTGATTCATCAACAATTTGGACATATACCAACCCACTAAACTTTTATGAAGATGTCACAAAGAAAGCATCTGCAAATTAAAAATACAACCGCCAACCAGTATGACAATAGAAGATCACGTTTGGCACGAATTGCAAACTCTAGAAGTACAACAACTGTTCACGATATCAGATGAACAAACAAAATGGACGCTAAGATCTAGGACTGTACAACTGATAATGCAACAGAATTAGTGTGGCTATAGGCCAGACGACTGGTACATTTTGTCCGGGAATTGACTCGATGATAAGAAGAAAGCAAACCGATATGTGCTCGGGAATGTTGGAGATCTGGAATGAGGCTAGATTTCGACGGTGTGTAAAGATTTACCATTCATTCGCCTCTTTGTCGATGTCAGTCAGCATCCAATTATTTTTCTGCCTCATAGTAAACTAACACCATTCTACGAAGTAATAGGAAAAGAGCAAAAAGATAGGTCTTCACACACACACCTAATCTACAGTGGCTATAAATTTCATCTAAAATCAATGAGACAATTGAACTGCACATACGAAGGCGTGAACAGAGAAGCGAGCAGGATTTTTTTTGTGAAAACATGGTTACGTTATCAATTAAAATGTGCCTAAACCACAAAACGTATCAAACTTTCTACAAAATAAATAAGATCGAATAAAGATGACAGATGATAATCCGAAGATGATTCGAATCACAGTTAATTGCAAGGACAATGGATACCTGTGGCGCACATGTGAATAAAATAAAAAAGTGTTAGGGAAACAACTCCGAAAGCAAACAGATCATGCAAATTGATGGCGAGTGAAACGTGTGACGGACACACAGAACAGCAGCTGTCATGGTGTAACAGGGGAAAGAAATACCTAAACAAGACAGTTGGTTAGAATATAGTGGACAGATCGGGAATCAATACAGCGTACGATGTGATCAATGGCGAAACACGTAAATGGCCCTAATCATTAACAAAATCTCGATTTTTATCCTAGATGATGTACCGAATGTATTCCATTCAAAGCATAAGGATCGCGAAGACTCACGAAAAAGAAATTATAACGTTGTATCTTTTCTGAACATAAAGCTTTCCAAATTATTTTGTTAAGTTTTCACTTTCTTCATCAGAAGTGGAGGACAATTCCCAGGGTAGTTCGAATGGTAGTAGTAGTCTTGAAATACAGGATACAAGGGTAGATATGATGCCTCAAAAACAGCCGCTTAATTGTGACCCCGTGCGCATGACTAGGTCTAGAAAAAGGATTATCTTCATCATATTACACAGTTTGCGAATTCGGCATTCAAGGGTGAAATGGATGATATTCTCAATCTTATCTTCATAAAGCGTTCGGCACTTCATCCAATATGTTACTGGGCTGCAATTCACCAATGCCAAGCTACTTTCGTGCGGAAATCCACGGCTTGATGTTGCCTGG